CCGGAAATAAATTTTTGCAGGGTGGGATGTTTACAACTATGTTAATGTTTATTTTATTAATTTAATATCCAGGTATTCATTTTGACACACTGAAGTAATTTGGTGGGTCTGTCACTTTAAGGTGTTCTGTGTTCTCACTGCTGAACGCTGATTGGTCGACAGGCTCTATTCCCCCTCTAATGTTAAAACACCCACAGTGTGCGGAAGATAGAAATTGTGTTTGTTCAGTCCTTTAAAGGCGAAATTGAGAACAGGAAGGACAATTACTCCCGGCATTTCTCATCGGAATCGAGGACGTTTGCTAACGTTACTACTCAGTCGGGACGGACATGGCGTCTGCCAGCTCCTGTATCGTGGTAAGTGTTACTGTAGTGTACACAAGTGTCTTCAATCATTTACACCGTAGCGCAACACTTGATTAGTCAGTGTACACAAGTAAATAATTCAGAAGTGTTTTTTGGCGATAAAACTACTTTATTCCTACATCCCTTTTATTCCTAGAAATTATCCTGATTGCATACACAAGTATTTAACAGTTAGTGATTTATAAATATTTCCGTGAGGTCTAACGTTAACGTTAGGGGCCTGGGAGGAAAGCACGCGTTTCACGCATGGCACATGTGATGCAGGCAAATAGGATGCAGGCATTTCTGCACGTATGACCAGTTAAATGAGCAGGAATTTCGTTCGATAAAACGCTGCATGTGCTCGGTTGTATTTTGGTTTCAGGGTTTATCAAATGCCTTGATAATATGATGAAATCTGTTAATGGACGAGTAGCGCGTTCGGGTCGAAAAGCGCGCAATTAGTTTTAGTTTGGATTTTTGTTTGCAATAAATTGATACATGTAACGCTTTCAGGGCCATACCAACCACTAAGGTCCGGACCTCATTATTTTTGCCGATGTTTATAAGAAAGGTTGTGAAATAAATGCCTAATATTAACTCTGCTTTGATGCTGTGCATATTGCACTATGCCAAGAAAACCGATCTTAACATCTGAGCTGACATCGGTCAAACACGATCATCAATATAAAAATGTTGGAGATATAAGTAGCAGCTACTCAAGAGAGTATGTGATTCTTGACGCAGCCAAGGAGACTGAATGAAAACGCAAATCTCTCTGATCTGATGGCACTTCTGGAACAGCAGAAATTCAGCCGTTACCCCGGTAACTCCGTAAACAAAGCAGCTGGGCTACAGTACTTTCTTAAATATTTCAAACAGCCATTCAGATATTTGTATTCGCCTCAGTGGTCATCACAACACCAAATACTTAAATAATAGGCTACCTAAATTTGAAAATGTTCTAACATTAACTAATGAGACCTTATTGTAAAGTGTTATTAATTGGTCCTGTTACAAAGACTGTTACTAATTGCCCCTGAAACCCTCTAGCAAACTCAATGTTGCAACCTCTATAATTATAAACCCCTGTGTAGGGCCCTTTGGTCTTGTGTGTGCAGTGTGCTGATTTGTGACGTAGTGTGCTAATAGGAATGACTCGGGGGAATTAATCATCCTCTTCCTCTACCCTAAATTAAGATATTATCTTGAGGATATAATTTTAGACACCCATCCTGTGCTTTGTGATTGGGTTTGATTAATTAATCAAAAGGTCTGGTAAGCTCTAAAAGGGACAGTTCACAGTTTTTTTGTTGTTTAATATCGGTCAGTTTTTTGACCTCACACTTATGTCGTTTCAATCCCGTACACCTTTCCTTCTTGTACAGAACACAATGACAATTTAAGGCTGTAGTCTGTCATTTCCATGCAATGACAATGAATGGCGAGTGAAGGTTTCAAGCCTAAAAAAGGACGCAACATCACCAAAAAGTTTAAAAGACTTGTTCTTTATTACAGGTCTTCTGAAAACATATGATAGCATTTGTATGAGGAACACACCAAAGTCTATGTCATTATTTGCTGAAAAGTTGCACCCTAAGGTTAGCTGTTAACAACTGCGTATGAGTTGAACATAAGAACCAGACACATCTGGCAAATTTCGTTCAGGGCTACTCTTGCTAAAGTATTGAAAGCTTAAGGCCATGGAAAACATTGCCACAAAAGGTAGATCTCTACCATTAGGCTTACAATGTGTTTAGGAAACATAACCCAGATCAGTTTTGTGAACTGGAGCAATGCTTTAGTTAAAAGATCCAACAAACTGTTTGTTTATGATAAGGACGTTGCTTTTCTTGCACACTGTCATGAATGCTAAGGTGAGCTTGGGTGTATTTCAGGATTTTCAGTGAATAATGATTTCAATTTCGCTCTGTTCGTCATAGAATCACTGTTGTATGACATCAGAAGGCATGTACTATTGTGCACAAGTCATGTGGACCATATTTATGATTCGTTTGATAGTCAGTTCCCAAAAAGTTAGATAAACATTCTCAGGGAATTCTGTCACCTGAAGGGCTGAAATAATTTTTGCCAATTTATTTGCGACAGGCAGCATTTTTCTTAATTGAGAAAATTGGCTCAATATTCTGATAGAGCTGAGGAAAGACATGTGACATCCATGTGAGTCTAAAGCAGGAATTTTACTGGTGTGAAATATGGCTCTCTAGATCTGACAGCACACCGACTTACATAATGTGCGCTCCTACAGCAGCATGAGAAACTAAACTTTGCCTTGCAGCCATTGCATACTAGGCTTTAAAATCCATGTCTTATCATACCCATGTCTATTGGTGTGTATTGTGCTTTGGGGTTTAAATCTCTAGGTACTGGCACCAGCAGTAAGCAGAGATGGGGAAGCTCCCAGAGGAGCCTCTGCTGACAGTTGCACATTGTTTATCTGAACCTCCTTCAAGGACAGTGTGATAACACTTATTGGAAAAACAAACAAAGAACAGTTTATTGTTTTACACATTATACATGAACCATCTGCTGTTTTGAAAGATTTCCAGTCAAGGTTCTTCTCAGGTCCACCGGCAGGGCAGGTTATACTTTTTCAGTAATTGGATTCTAAATACTATATTTACATGCTTCATTCAGAACAGTTGTTCTCAACAAGGGGGCCAAGTCAGCAAGTCTTAAAATAATTAGATTTTCGTTATATTTACATTGTCTTAATTAAAATGCTAAAAGATATAGATGTACCAACATTAAACAGACATTACATTTTTTGAGTTTGCTCATTTTTATTACAACAGAAGTACCAGAGATACATAGCCTAGACAGGAGGGCCTTTCCAATATTGTCTTGGGTGAAGGGGGGCCTTCGAGTAAAAAAGGTTCCGAATCACAGATTTAAAAGACACTATGTACTGTAGTATGATTATAGTATAATTTGAACGGGACTTCATTGTGTTTATGAATGCATTCTGATAGGCATATGTTTATTCTTTTACATAAACATATGCACAAAAAGCAGTGGATAGGAGATTAGACGCATGATCTTAGCTTGTCTGTCGGTATGAAATGGGATTCTACTAGTTCTGACATGAGTCAAATCTGCCCCCGGTTTCACAGACAAGGCTTAATCTAGTCCCAGATTAAACTGCATGTTTGAGCTGTTTTAACTGAAGGCAACTTGCAGTGACATATCTTAATATTTAAGTTAATATTTTTGTAAACTGCAACTTCACACACACGATTGAACAACTCACTAGAGTTAAAATTACATGTGCTTTCGTATGTTAGTGAACATGAAAATAAGTGTATTTAAAAGTTTATAAAATGTACTGACTATTAAGTTTAGTCTAAGAACGTCACTTGGTTATCTGCTTAAACTCCGATAATATATGCACTTTTTTAAAGTCACTCTGGTGAGAACATAATCTCAAATGTTACAGACAAATGCCATCATGTTATCGCCAGATGTCTTGAGAGCGGGAGAGTTAGGCAATGGGATATAAGGTTGAAGATCACCTTTCACCTACTAACCTATTTAAGGTTTGTCCTGCTGTCTGCTAGATAAAAATGTTATCTATCAAACAGACTGCTCACTGTTCTTTGCCCTATCAGGTATATGATATGATCGAATGATGTCATTTGTGTATTTTAGATCAGTGATGAAGAGCAAGGTTATGACCTGGACCTCTTCTGTATACCAAAACATTATGCGTCTGACCTGGAGCGAGTGTATATTCCACATGGACTCATCATGGACAGGTACGAGGCACATCAAACAAAGTTACTTCTTAGCCAAGAAGTCTTGCCTAATGAACCTGCAAATTACAAATAATATGCAACCTGAAGACTGTTGACATTGCATGTTGGCGGAGCTGACTAGTCACTCTGGACTCCTACAGAACTGAACGTCTGGCCAGAGATATCTTGAAGGACATGGGTGGCCACCATATCGTTGCTCTGTGTGTGCTCAAAGGGGGCTACAAGTTTTTTGCTGACCTACTAGATTACATCAAAGCCCTCAATCGCAACAGCGATCGTTCCATTCCGATGACAGTGGACTTCATCCGCCTCAAGAGTTACCAAGTACGGCTATGTAATGTAGATTCAACCAGGCCTGTCTATGTTACTTACTCCCTTTTGTTTATTGACAACATGAATGAAATTTGACCCTTTGCAATACAAACTTGTTTCAAGGTTGAGTGTTGTTACTTTAGTAACTAGAACACATACATGTCTTGACTGAACTCTGCTTTCCCCTTTTTCAAATATTACAGAATGACCAATCTACAGGTGACATCAAAGTAATTGGCGGCGATGATCTGTCCACACTCACAGGAAAGGCAAGCATCTTCCTGTGAATAAAAATAATCCTCACTATATCAAGATAATCATTATTATAATGTCTAAAATATTATCCTGTGACTTTCTGGTGACATTTCTCTTTATCAGGAAAACATTTTGACCTCAGTTTGTACTTAAAAAATTTAAGTACATCACTGTCAACGTTTTATTTGTTACGTTTCTAAATTAATTTCTGTGGTGACCGGCAGCATGCCACAGATGCTGTCTATAAAAGACATAAATACCTTTATTCAGCAAGGATGTATTAAATTGATCAAGTGACATTAATAATATTACAAAAGATGTTTTAAAACATATTTATATACATTTTGTTATTTTAAATTGTAATTATATTTCACAATATTACTGTATTTTGATGAAAGAAATGCTGCCTTGGTTATCATAAGACACTTCTTTCAAAAACATAAACACAAAAACGACCTGGTGGTGTATGATCAATAAACAAAAAATGCATAAGTTACAGTCAGTGGGTGATGAAATATTGTTTTTGCAGTCTTAAACATCCAAATTAAAACTCTTTTTCCTTTTCTCTTGACATTCCTTTTGACACCAAAAGAACGTCTTGATTGTTGAGGTATTTGTGATTTTTTTTTTTTTACATATATATTTAAATAGCTCGTATTATCTAGCAAATGTTAAAAGTGTTTGTGTAATATTTACTCCATTCATCAGGACATCATTGATACTGGGAAGACGATGAAGACCCTGCTCGAACTTCTCAAGCAGTATAATCCAAAAATGGTCAAAGTGGCCAGGTACAAATGAATATAATGAATAAAAAAAGCAAATGAGTCTCTGATTGTTTGTCTTGTAGGTATGGATCTTATTCACAGCAGTGCCATCTTTGATTTTTAATGGGAATGAAAGCGAGGCTGTGAGGGATAGTCATGCATCTCTTCAGTGGGTTGTACTATTATTTAATGTGTTATTGGATTGTTTTTCTGACTAAACACTTTCTTTTCAAGAAATTTCGGTAGACAAAAACATGAGCTGTGAAAAATTATAAGTGATCCAGGAGCTTTACACAGCTTTTTCCAGCGGATGCCATTGAAAACACTGTTTAATCTATCCTTCACAGCCTCGCAACCTGTCATGGCGCTGCTCTGAATAAGATCTATTGAATCAGTTTTTGTTAGCTGTAGGTAAATATTGCTAAGCTCTGTGTAGTAACTCCCTCGTCTATTATTGATCACGAGTCCAACAAATGCCAGATACTACTACCTACTTTTGAGTTTATAAGCTTTACGGTCTCGTATGCTTCACATATTTCCATCATTCGCTTTCTTTGCAGTTTGCTGGTGAAGAGGACACCAAGGAGTGTTGGCTACAGACCAGACTGTGAGTGGATTACTGAAAAGCTTAGACTTAAGAATCCAGACTTTTTTGGCATGTTAATGCCTAAATGGCTTTGATATAGTTAGGATTCAATTCACTTCTCACAAATCATGTTTATATATGGATACATGCTGTTTATTTCTTAGGGTTGCACAAACAGCCTCAAAAGACTAAAGCTCATTGATTTCAAGTCAATTATTTTGACAACTGAAATTCCTCCTATCGATCCTTTAAAGCAGGGTTCCTCAAACTCGGTCCTGGAGGGCCACTGTCCTGCAGAGTTTAGCTCCAACCCTGATCAAACACACCTACCTGTGAGTTTCTAGTGATCCTGAACATAGATATACATAATAAAGACTAGATGTCTCGTCCGCGCTGCTGGGCAATGGAGGTCGACGTCTGCACCTGACGGCCATCTTGTCACAGGCAGCTCGCTCACTCGTAACATTGTTTTTTTAATGGTGCATGTACTTTTTAAATAACCATAACTTGCTCAATTTTCTACCGATTTTCCAACGGTTTGGTTTGTTATAAATGTCAGAGATGTAGTTATAACACTGCACACTTATGAATAATAAGTGTATCAATAAATAATCATCCAGAATTATAGCCACGTTAATAACGTTTGTAAGAAACCAAACCGTTTGTAAATCCGTCAAGATTTCAACGAGATAAGAGTATTTGTGTTCGTGCTGATCACTCATCTTACATCAGGTACCACAGAGCCCGCCAGAAAGCTTGCCTGTGACAAGATGGCCGCCGGTGATGACGATAGAGACTCCGCCGTAAGACATCTAGCCTTTGTTATGGATATCTATGATCCTGAAGACATTGATTAGCTTGCTCAGGTGTGTTTGATCAGGGTTGGAGCTAAACTCTGCAGGACAGTGGTCCTCCAGGACGGAGTTTGAGGAACCCTTCTTTAAAGGGATAGTTCACCCAAAAATGAAAATTCTGTAATTTACTCACCCTCAAGTTGTTCCAAACCTGTATGAGTGTCTTTCCTCTGTTGAACACAAAAGAAGATATTTTGAAGAATGTGGGCAACCAAACAGGCTCAAGGCCCCATTGACTCCCATAGTATGATTCTTAGTTGGTTATCCATAGTATGATCCCATAGTTGGTTACCAACATTTTTAAAATATCTTCTTTTGTGTTCAGCAGAAGAAAGAAACTCATACAGGTTTGGAACAACTTGAGGGTGAGTGAATGATGACAGAATTTTAATTTTTTGGTGAATTATCCCTTTAAGGCCATTATAGTGCAATGGTGTCGGTTGACCACAAGGTTGCACACTTTTCTGCATTGAAGTACAAGTTGCCAATATTCAACGAACCTTTTCATTAACCTCCAGTTTCTTTCCCCCCCTTTATCCTCTAGTTGTAGGATTTGAAGTCCCTGACAAATTTGTGGTTGGGTATGCGCTTGACTACAATGAGTACTTTAGGGATTTAAATGTAAGTACCGTAAAATCTAAAACAGATTATTGGAGTATGTTTTACTAGAAAATACTATTTTAGTCTTTCTACATTAAAATTGCATGCTTAATTCAATGTGTTACTTGCCGGGTTTTTTTTTGTAATTATTTGTGAAATTTAACAGCAATTTCTAATTGAAAATTGTTTCCTCACCATTTTTTTAGCTGGTTTAGCATCATTTAGAATATCTTTCTAATTTAAATTGCAAATAGTTGCCCATTTACAACACACGTCTGTTTGATGTGTGCTGCAATTCCTTCTAACTACTTCTCTCATTTTGACTTGCAGCACATCTGTGTCATCAGTGAAACGGGAAAGGAGAAGTACAAAGCATGAGAAGCCCTGCACTTCCCCCTTTAGCTGTATCATTTGGTTATTTTTTTAAATATGGTTTTCATTTTATATCCATTTTGTATTTTTTCAGTAGCGCAGCTCACCGCAGGTTAGCAGGTCCTGCACTCAGGGTCTCTGGTGAGGTGTGTGCTGTTAATGCACCTTACATTTACTTTGGCTTATACCTCCACAGGCAGCCCCACACACATTATTAACCACAAACACTTGCAGTTCAGTCTCTGAGAATAGAGGTAATTTAGACTGCTGCTCTTAGTTACAATGGGGGTTTTAAACAACCATTTGTGTAAGGATTCCCTTTAATTTATTATAATGACTTGTACAAGTTATTATAGGTAGGTGTTTATGTTTAAAGACTAGATTAAACAGAATATTGATTTGCTATTCAATAATGAACATACATTTGATTTGCTCAGATGGCAAAAGGAAAACATTCATGTTTCTCAAAGACTATTTGCAGTGTAAAACTGTAATCAAAAATCAGTGAGTATTGAGAATGCATAAAATGAATGCTTTTACATGTGAATGTACTTTAGAATCAGGGCAACCTGATTTTTCAATCACATTTTAAATTTATTGACATTTTAAAGCCAAATATCATCTCCTTGTTTTTATTTGTAATTATTTAATTTTGCCTGTCAATATATGTATTTGTCTACTTACTGTAGTCTTGCTTCCTAATTATAATAATGGGATTAAAATGAAATGTGGAAAAAAATCTTATGGTGCCTTAGATGGTAAATTTGTACTAAATACAGTAAAAAAATAAATACAGTATAATAATTAAATGAAACTGATGTAAAGTTAAAGTGACCTCACCATTGTTCAACCACCTGTCAATCTTAAACATTCTGATTAAATTATTCAGAGTTTTGAGTGTCCTCCTAACTTTCCTTATCTCACCAACATTGTTGAACAGGTCACATTATAATGTAGTGCACTGTTGTTTTAGGAATAACTAGTAGCATAAAATTGTTCTGCATTTAATGAATGTCATAAAATATTAAAATGGTGTTCCACCATGTTATAGTTGATACCAGCTCAGGCCTATTCCCTACTTTCTGTCTTGTTCTGGTCAAAACTCCATTTAAACATTTACATTTACCCCTTTACCAGATGCTTTTATCCAAAGCAACTTTCCACAGAGGAACATAAGCAATTCATCACAGAGCCAACAGTATTGCTAGTATACAATGCAAGGTTTATTAGAAAACTAGATTTAAAAAAGCAGATATTACAGCAGATCACAAAATCGAGGCTACATAAATCTTGCTCTTAAAATATTTTCTGACATAAGTAAATAACCAGGTACACATAAGGAAACGTATTTATTTATTTTATTTAATAGCATTCATCTACAGTACAGACATGTAGTTTTTCCAGCACACAAGTGCATGGGTATGTTGAACTCTCGGGCAAGGGTCTGTTGTGGCTCTTTGGAGTTTGTAAGTGCTGACAGGTCTTACTAAAGCAGAACAGTAATACTGGATAACACCACATTCACCTCCAGTATTTATGTGCTGCTATAGTACATTCTGCTGGTCTCTTGAGGAGGGTGGAACCGGGTGGAACACAGAGAAACAGTCCTCTAGCAGCTCTTGATGATCACCAAAAAAAAAAAACATGACCTACCGCTAGTGTTGTGACAGTCAGAGCATTTGACATGTTCGTTCTCTTCCTCTCAGAGTGGCTTCAACTTGCTAATTAACCAGTGATGACCATGTTATTTCTAAAAGCAACTTCCAATTCTTGCATTTCATGAAACACTAATATTAAGATATATTTTTTGAATGAAATGTTCACCTATCAGTTATCATAATACATATGTCTGTATAGTTATGGAATATTATAACTATGGAAATATTGGTGTTATCGATGGTTCCAAATGTCATTAAGAGGGAGCGCCCCCTGGTGGGTCTGAGAGGAACAACAGGGTGGTGAAATAGGCCTCAGGTTTAGGTTCCAATGTTCTTTGAAAATATATTCAAAATAGTATTTGTGCATTAGGTAATTACAAAAACAGATCTATACACCACGATAAATTTGAAAATGCAACCTGTAAATGCATACCAGATAATAAAGTATTTTAGAGTTTCTGTCCGTTGCGTATTAATAACGATAAATCTGTATTTAAATGAGAGGAAATTATCATTTTAGGAGCTGCTGTTTGTATACATAGTTGTTGATTAGCAACTAATAAAGTACAAAAATAAGAGCCCTCGCCAGGCAGACATGACCAGACATATCCTCAATACTGCATGTCACAGTCTGGTGTGCAGAGGGCCTTACTTGTCCTTAAAATAAAATATACATGTACATTAAAAAGTAGAAAAATAATTCACTTACAAAATGATAAGGGATTTATAGAAAACTTTGAAGTCAATTGTTGCCAACGTTTAAAAAAAACAAGCTGAATACATACATGCTTAAACTGAATCATCAGCATAGCTATTTAAGGCAAGTCAAAATAATAATACATGTAGGCTATATGTTATTATCAAATTTTTATTGAATATTCTACAGGCCATGCCGGGGTTGTAAGAAAAGCTCCAGACACGCACATTTAGCTGGATGCCACATACAGGGTGTAGTTCACTAACTGCCTACTCGGCATTTTTACAATTGTAGAAAACAACAGAAATAGCCTCATGTTGAAGTGAGAATCAAACAATTAAAAAGTACAAATATATATTTCGTTTAGTTGCCAGCCACCTTCGAAATCTGTATATCAACACACCGTGGGGTGTTTCCTCATCTTCCGATTACACAGGTTCCCTAAATAGGCAACTTCGTACTAATATTAAAAGAGGATGTTGGTTATAAAGCTATATTGAGAAATTCGAGTTAAATACAAACGACCGATAAAAACGCGAACTTTTCATTGACACGCGTCAAAATGAATCAACTTTCAGATTATGATCGTGTACACTAGACAAAGTGACATTAAAGTGGCAGATTTTCTCCGCGCGCGCACAACTACAGCACCGTTTTCAAACAAAGGCTCAAAAGTAGTGAAGGCGACTCAACGCCAACAGGCGCGTTAAACACCCCCGTCTCTTTAGGAAGGTCAGACGCCTCAGAAATTAATGAACAGCACACAACTTGACAGCGTGAGAACGAAGAGGGAAAATCCAGAAAAATAATTCCCCCAAAAATCCAAACTTACCTCGGGTCCAATCGAAAATGGCGCCGAAATGTAAAAAAACGCACCAAATTTCATTGTACGGTCTCCTGCAAAGCTTTGTGGGAGCGTGAGCTGTACAACATCCCCCGTAGAGTAACGGAGGAGGAGTGCAACTGCAGTGTCGTGGCACGTTTACTACTTAGGCAGCACACTATATCCCCATCAGGATGTTGTCATGCCTTTTGGGGCAGCCAACTTGTTCACTCAACAAACAAAGTTTCTGGTTTTAATGGAGTATATTCTAATAAAACCCATATCATTTTATAATTCAACCTCGTAATTGTTTCCATAAAAGTTTGGTACAGGCTTAATCAACCATAATTGTCTCCTTCCTGCTTATTTGTTCTGTAAGCTCTTGATTATTCTTAACCTTAAAACAAATAACTCTCTTCCTAATAGTTTTATTATTTTAATAGAGGTGATTTATTTCTACAAAAGTCAGCTGAAGTTACCATCACCTGACCTGCGTAATGACCTTGCAGTCGCCTGGCTGAAAATCTTGTGTCTCTCATTAAAAGAAGAGAAAAGAAACATTGTCTGCTGCCAGACAGAGGCCTTGCAGTGAGCTGTAAAGAAACATGTGACTCGGGTGTTGCTCATTCCTGGTGTGTTCTGTGTAAAGCTATTTTATGCAAAATTGGGTTTAGGGTGGAGACTGTGTCATCACACAGTGAAATGTAATGTGTAGGACATGTTTTGACAGAAGTCAAAGTCTAAGCCATGCAGAAAAGAATTAAGCAAAACCTTGGTAAAACAATGTCCTTTGTCTTTACCTTTAGCTTAAATTCAATTTATTGACATTATTTTTTAGGATTTTTTCTTGACAACTCCATGTTATTCCATCTGTGCTTTATTTCTGGGTAAGATTAAATTAAATTAGGGCATTCAGGTAGCTTTATAAACGTGCCTTAGAAAAAACAGTACTGGTGTGCACCTTGAGACAAAACAATGGCTCTATAAGATATGTCAGTGCAAGTTGCTTTCAGACAAAACAGCTCAAACATGCATTTTAGTCTGGGACTAGCTTAAGCCTTGTCTGTGAAACCGGGGGTATATCGAATAGATGAATAACTAACTAATAATGTTTATTTGAATCACATTTTTTCATTTAGATCTATTTTTTTACTTTACTCATTTATTTAAATCCAGTTATTATTATTTTTTACCAGGGGTAAAAGTTTATTCTCTGTATTTTGATGACATTCAAGAAAGTATGTAACTATTTTTCTCAGAAGCATCACATCTCTGAGAAATCAAATGTAAACCTCTACAAAGGAGATAAAATGTTGGTAGTAGGGGTACATACAACACCAAGGCCAACAGTGATGCACTGGTGTAAATCATCCTGAGGCAAGTATGGTCAGGGGTCAAGTCACTGCAAATTTATTATTTTAAAAAGTCAAAGGTTATTTTAAAGCATTCTAGCTTTAGCCTATAGTAGCCTAAACTGAATCTGGCTGACAAGCTGAAAGTAGTAGACAAATTTTATACACTGCAGTTGATGGCAGATAATGGCTATAGGATTGTACATTTCAAATATCCAATATGTTACATATTCTTAATGTTAAACTGTGATATAAGTATTTTAAACAATCTAAAGTATCTCTCTTAATAAAATAATAAAATAAAATAAAAATGCGTTAAACGGCGTGCGCAGGGAAACTTCTCCAGGAAATGTGATTTCATTGGCTGTTTCCCTGAACGGTTGCCATTCAAAAAGGCACGCCGGTAGCCATCAAGTTTCTGATTGGTTCACGATGCCGTCGGTCAGTCCGGTAGGCACAGAAGGGGCGGGACTCTTATCTGAGCTGTGTGAGTAGACTGCGGCGTCCAGAAAATAGATAAACAGCATGCTAACCTTAGACGCAACTAAGTTACAAACTTATCCAACTAGATACTTACACGCCAAATTGTCAAACAGAAGATGACAGAGAGGAGCTGCGCGCTTGTCTAGTGATTTACATGCGTTTGTCCTGCAACCCATCACGGACAGCAAGCTAGTTAGCAACATGATGATGGCCAGCTGAACATTGTTGTGGCTTCAGCTTTAGGTATTATTGCGATCACTGTTTAATGACTTAACCTTCATGCTTTGAATGTTGCTTTTTCATGCATCCTAACCACATGCACTCCAAAACTTGCTTGGAGCTGTTTAGATTGTGGTGCTTGTCCGCCATCAAGCTAAGCTAACAGCACAGGAATAGTGTGCATGGGCCAAACCCCTTTCACATTAGCTCGCAGCTAACCAGCCGCTGGATCTACAAGTTTGGACCAGAACGTGGAGAGTTTTCTAGGAAGATACTCGGTGCACGTCGAACAAGCAGAATGTTGGTTTGCAGAAACCCACGGATCATTTCCTTAGACATTGATCGAGACCTACATTGACCCTAACAACGACACAAACCCCAATCTTTCTATATTGGCTGCAAAATGCACATAGTAAACTGAGGCCTTGATCTGCTTTGTCAGTTTCAACGATGTAGCTTTGCAACCTACGTGCTTTTTTGTGGCATAAGAACAAGGACAATAACGATGAACAATCAAGGAACCATGTCGCAAGAGAAGATGGAGCTGGACCTGGACATCCCATCGACACTTGTTCAGAGTGATGGCCACTTGAGACGATCTAACAGCGAACCCATGATAAACGGCCTAAGGTGAGGATTGATTGCATTTCTCGTTGTGTTTAGGGCAGTTACGGTCTTATGTTGGTATGTTATGTTCATCTGGACCTTATGAACATTTCGGAAGTTTCTCTCAACCTGGTGAGCTGCCTACTTGACCATGCTGAAAGATCCAGCTTAAGCTAGTCGCAGACTGGTTTTGAAGTAGTCCAAACTGGCCATGCCAGTTTAAAGTTTTCAAACTGGTTTTTGAAACCTGGAAACTGGAAAACACAACGTCCAGCTTAAGATGGGTTTGCGAACAGGCAAGCACATCATTTTTGGGGCATTATGGGTATGTTCCTAGCCTTGATGGTGAGTTCCTACACAGTTAGAACTTTGTCCACCAATGTGAAAATTCTCATTTGGCTTCACATATAAACAATTATACACATACCCAAAGTAAAAGTTATTCTCTCAAAGAGTTGCTTACCTTTTTTTAAAGGAGTAAATGTACCCCATTTTTAAGAAATGTCTGCACCTTATTTCCAGATTGAAGCATTACAAATGCCTAAAATGCTTTTGAGAGATGCCATGCATGACTGTTGTGGGTGCTCTCTCACTGGTAGAGAGTAAAGACATGCATCCATGTCTAGATGAACATGCTTTGAGTCATCAGGGCTGCCAGTCTCTCAAGAGAAGACCGTGTTGGTGGTATAAAACTCACACATTAGTATTGCGATTAGTGTTAAAGTTGGAATGAAATAAATTCAGTCTTTATAAATACATGTTTTAGATCTTAGCAATTCATCTGTGCATGACATGAAATCAAAATGGACCAATCCTTTTTTTTTTATGGAATATTGCAGATTTATTATTATTTTTAATTATTATTAATGTGCCCTCGTAATCCTAAATCAAAATAACTTCTCCCTCTTGCAGCTTCATCTCTTCTCTTCTCCAATGATGTGTTTACTGGCACGAGGACAACCTGTCACTCACATGACATCACCGCAAATAACAAACCACAACGATCCAATCAATTCCCGATGGACAAAAAGTCCCACCCTACTTTTTTTTTTTTTTTTTTGAGAAGCTTGTTTCACTTGAATGTGTCTTAATGGGGAAGAAAGGATGTAATTTCCTTTTCGTGCTGACTTTGATTAAACATTAGAAGTAGGGATGGCCCGATACCATTTTTTTTTCAAACCGATACAAGTACGAGTATTTACATTTGTGTACTTGCCGATACCGAGTACCGATACCGATATTTCTACCGCAAAAGTAATAGGCTCCCAGAAAAGAAGACGACTATTTTAGAACACAGGTTAGAAGACTGTTTTTATTTTCTTCTCTGCTTGTTTTAACAAGTCTAAAAATAAATAAAAATTAGTAAAATAATAAATGTATTAACACACAAACCACTGTTAATTTAACATCAAAGCAAGCAGGCTACTGCATGCATGGTCTGGCATGACTGAATGCGCGCAAAGTGCGCTCCCTTAATAAATCCTAAAAGCTGACAGTTCATCGCGATCTCACACATCTGTTATCAATGAAGCTGACTGCACAATCAATCTTTCATAATATCCACACTTTGTTTGTTATAATTAGAGGATTTGCCAGCATACAGAATTCAGCACTGAACAAAAAAGTCCGTTTTGAGCGGTGAGGGGAGTCTATCTTAAATGCTTCTGATTGGCCATTGCGTTCAAGAAATCAACACATATGTCTGTGATTGGCTACATCGCTCAACGCTGTAACCATGTTATGAATAGAAACTCTGGCCTGTAAATCGTTTATATTTTGTTGTAGTTGTTCTTGTTGCTTTTCTGCAAGAGATGAATACAAATCTTTTAGTTTTTATGTTTTATTCATAGATATTTCTAGTTTGCGGGAGTCCCGCGAATCGTTTTATTCTCCCGTAACCCGCACACACAGAGTGAGTGCATTACCGCCCGCGCGCGCGCTCGGCCATCAGATCTATGATGCGTCTTCAGATGTTTAATTAGATTGCTGGTGTTAAACGATGTACTTTCTTTCCCTCCTCTCGACACCTTAGCTGAACATAACTCACAGTCTGCCTTGCTGTTGTCATCATCCCTTATCTTGAAATGAGCCCAAACCGCCGACATTATACTTTCCTATGCCTCAGTTCACCTCGACAAAGCACTCGCGGCGGCCAGTTTCGTTTTGCAAAATGTAACGTTACGTGGTATCGGTGCGTGGTATCGGCGAATTTTTATGAGTACGAGTATATTAGGACAGTATCGGCCCGATGCCAGTATCGGTATCGGGCCATCCCCATTAGAAGGTAAAAACATTTTCAATGTCATAATTAATACATGCTTCCAGTGAAACGAGACTTATTTCTGGTGACCTATGCAGGACTCCTCCAATCATTTAGTGCGTCTAAACTCCGCCCCCTGCATTCATCTGCATCTGTTTTTGAGTGCAGCGCTCGCATCTCAATCCAGTCAACAACTGATGCATAGAACCAAGTCTCTGCATTTTCTTGATATTACACTGAAGTACGTTACAATATGGAAGGAAAGCTCTGTCATTACTTCAATTTCATTGTGACTTCAATGTTTAAATATTTTTTTTAGTACATGAAAAATTAAAAGTTCTTTCTCTCTTTCTCCAGTGATGCTTCACAGGTGTTCCAGAGAGAGGTTCTCCGCAGCAGAAGAAACAGTACTACTGTTGTTCGACCTATTGTGGTACGTAGCACATTTCAGAATGCTGTGAATGTGTGAATTAATGTTTTGTTTAATGTAATTTGCTTATTGGATGTTTTATGTTTTTTAGGTTCCATCTTCGCCAGTACGTGTTCCTAGCACAAGACTACAGCGAATCAAACAGGTACAAAGTTGGCATCAACATACCATGAAATATGACCTGCTATTAAGATCATAGACTATGAAATATGTTCATGTCAGACTCACCACTCTTATTTGTGCATATGGGGGTGTGTCTAAAAGTACATGCTAAAATTAGATTTGAGTTTTCGCAAACCACCAGTCTTTAGACTGGTTGGTAGTACCGCACCCCAACCTATAGATTTATAGATGTGTATGTGTAGAAAGTCACAGTGTTGGTAATATTTCCTCATATGGGGTTCCTTATATGCTTGCTTGTTTGTAGGAAGAGGGTGTTGATGTGATGAACCGTGAAACTGCCCATGAACGGTAAGAGCTCACATCTGCTGAACCCCCAAGGCATTTGTTTCTCATTTTTCAGTTTTGACTGCTGGTTTTGTCTGTTTCCAGAGTGTTCATAACATTCATTATCCTGTGTACAATCAAATAAGGGCTTTTATTAAACTGCTCGCTCTGCTCATTGGTTGGAGGGAAAATTGTCAGTATTCGGTGGCATCTCTCCATTCCTTCCTCTCTGTATTTATTTTCCTCTATAATGTCGATTGATCTAGAGAGGTGCAGGCAGCCATGCAGATGAGCCAGTCTTGGGAGGAGAGTCTTAGTCTGGTAAGAGGGTGTTTTTGTTTTGTAATTTAAAAAAATGCACTACCCTTAAAGTTTGGGGTGGGTATATATATTTTTTTTAACCTGTTTTTAAAGTGTCTTCACTAGGGGTGGAACGGTACATGTATTCGTACCGAACCGAAACGGTACGGGCGTCACGGTTCGGTGCACGAATTTACACGGAGAATACACGGTATAAAAATAAATAAAACTCGCGTGAAAATTAATTAATGTAATGCGGAACTACTGTTAGATACGCGGGTTCTTTAGGGACACATAATCTTTACCATCGGCTTAGCTCTGAACGTGCGTTCACTTCAAACGTTGGCTTTATACGCGTGTCCTATTCGCTTTGGACTAGCGTCGAACTAGACGCGAATTTAACGCTATATTCGCGTTTGGTGTGACTGCATAATGAACAGGCTGCGATGTCAAGATTGCAATGCTGGAGTGTGTGTGTGTGTGTGAGAGAGAGAGAGGCGCGGCCGCGATCGAACAGTGGAAACATAAAAAACATACTCCGTCATTTTGTTCATACAGATCATTAAACCTGCAAAGTGTTTACTTATATTTGTGTACACTCGCAATAAAACACAACATTGTGCTTTTGTCACACTGTAAACTCTTCTCAAACTGTAACCTACAACTGTCACCCAACCAAAATCTCTCTCTCTCTCTCTCTCTCTCTCTCTCTCTCTCTCTCTCTCTCTCTCTCTCTCTCTCTCTCTCTCTCTCTCTCTCTCTCTCTCTCTCTCTCTCTCTCACACACACTCACACACACACACACACACACACACACACACACACACACACACACACACACACACACACACACACACACACACACACACACACACACACACACACACACACACACACACACACACACACACACACACACACACTGTTTTAAAAGCAAAACATATTTATCCAACTCCATTTCAAAACAGTCTGTGGGTCCCATCTTTTGGACATTTATCGCATTGGTTTTCATTTCTTGTCCTCGGAGCACTAATCTTACACATTCTACATTGATTAAAAAAGAAAATCGAATGCGTTATTAATGGTAGTATTATTTTATACAGAAATCAATTATTTATAATTCAGATGAGAATAATGTTACATTGTTAATTAATAATGTTAATTAAGGAAAACAAATATATTGATCTGAAATATAGCAAATTAATTTTAAATTAATTTAGGTACAATTACCAAACACATCGCAAGGTCTTTTTATTAATTTAATTAATAAACTAATTAAATAAAACTATTGTCAGTGCACTACAAATAAACTGGTTCTATGCCTTTATTAATAAAACTTATTTTAAAAATACAATGCCTTCTGCATTTTTGTTTTGCTTTTCCCTCCATTGTACCGAAATCGTACCGAACCGTGATGTCTGAACCGAGGTATGAACCGAACCGTGACTTCTGTGTACCGTTCCACCCCTAGTCTGCACCAAGGCCACATTTAATTTAAAGTTATATTTTTAACTACATTTTAATGTAGTTCATTCCTGTGATGGCAAAACTGAATTTTCAGCAGCCATTAATCTTAAGGACTTCAAACTATTAAACTGTAGTGTGTATAACAATACTATCGCAAAGTACATAATTTAGGTTAAATATGAATCTACGCAAACAATTTTGCTGAAAAATTGAGACCGTGTTATTATGCAGATAATATAATGCATGCAGTAGCAATGTTGCTACACTTCCTCTTTCCCTTATTCATGGGACTGTGGAAGAGAAAATGGAAGCATGCTAGAGAAAAGCTCATGGAGTCAACAGGGCCACCGGTCTCTCAAGATCAGACTGGATTGGTAGTATAAAACTCCAACACTGCATTAGTAACGAAGTGGTTAATTTGCAGTAATACTGGCATGTTGTGTAAGTGTACTAAGTGATTCATATTGTGTTTTGATTCAATAGAGTGATAATGATCTCGAGAAATCTTCATCGTCATCTCCAAAGAGGATTGATTTTGTGCCCGTGTCTCCTGCTCCTTCACCCACCAGAGGGATTGGAAAGAAGGTATCATTTATTTTCTTCTAACAGATGCTCGTGTTTTAATTCAAGGCTTTATGCTTTGATTTACTCTCTCTCTCTCTCTCTCTCTCTCTCTCTCTCTCTCTCTCTCTCTCTCTCTCTCTCTCTCTCTCTCTCTCTCTCTCTCTCTCTCTCTCTCTCTCTCTCTCTCTCTCTCTCTCTCTCTCTCTCTCTCTCTCTCTCTCTCTCTCTCTCTCTCTCTCTCTCTCTCTCTCTCTCTCTCTCTCTCTCTCTCTCTCTCCCCCTCCCTCCCTCCAATGAGCAGCAGTGTTTCTCTCCATCTCTTCAAATTCTGGTGAGCAGTAACGGTCTGACACCCAGCCCTGTTCCCAGCCCAACACGCCGCTTCAGGTGCGTTCTGCTTCAATCAACCCGCTAATATTAGGCATAATATTATAGAATACTTAAAGCTGAGTAGCTGATATCACTCATCAAAAAGTTTGCCCAGCAGGAGGAGTCAGAGCCCGATCAACTGCATCAGGCCCAGCATTATGGGCAACCTCAAACGCAAAGGTAAGGGAGCGTTCACAACACATTTGCTTTTGTAATGTCATTAAACTTGTCGGGAAACCTATAAACCTCACTTTCTCTGTATGCTCAGGTGAAATGGAGACAGAAAGCCAACCCAAGAGACTCTTTCAGGGAACCACCAACATGCTGTCCACAGAGGTGTCCCACTTGCCTGAACTTAACACTTGGTGAGTTCCCTCAGTTGGATTTTATTTTAATTGAGTATCTTTATAAGGAGTATGTGTATTTGGATGTTAGGTTGTGAACCAGGGTTTTTCCTGCATTGAAAGTATTTAAGCGAACACCAAAATTAATCCTTTGTCCTGCCAAAGATTTATTTGATCATGTAATATGACCTGCTGTTCTGCAGTATCGGTACCAGCTAATAGCTCGCTGCTTTAAAACTCTCCCGTGAGTATTTGTGCAAGCGATCTGAAGAGTGTCAAAGGTTTCTTTTTACGTGTTTTTGCAGCATTGAGCTTTGTAGCCAATTACAGACATATCTGTTGAGCGCGTGAACACAATGGCCAATCAGATGTGTTTTTGCAACATTGAGCTTTGTAGCAAAGTACAGACATGTAGAGTGTGAACGCAGTGGCCAATCTGATGTTTGTTAATCAGAAACCACTCAAAACGGCGACGTTTGTGCAGTGCAAGTTCTGCATGCTTGAAAATCCTTTTATTTTAACCAACAAAGTATAAACGCTGTCAATATGAGTTTCATTGCACAGCATTGACCGCTTCAGTGATAAAAAAACAAAAACAAAATGTAGTTTTTTTTTTTTTGTAGTTTGCTGCATTGTTAAAAAAATACTATAACCTATATTTGTTAAATCACGGGGCGTGTCGACACGCACAACCACATGTGCCTACAGACATATTTCGCTGAGCAAGCAAAATGAAGTGAGCGAGAAAGTACTGTGTGGGACTATTTCGACAGAAAGGGCGACAAAGTTACTTGCAAAATGTGCTACGCGGTATTAAATTACAGCAGTAGTTACAAGTACAATGCAATATCACTTGCGAAGCAAACATCCACAAGCAAATGAAAGTCGCTGGCCACTCTGGCGAGACGTTATCTCTGTATTCCCGGGACATCTGTGCCATCGGAGAGGGTGTTTTCTGCCGCGGGTCTAACTCAACAGGCTGCGCTCCAGACTAACCCCACATCATGTAGACATTACTTTTTAAAAAATAAAAACTAGACAGTGTGGATTGAGGTAGGCCTGCTAATTTTATTTGACGAAAAAACTGTCTGGAGGAAAAGAAATAGCCGTTTTTTTAAAAGCTTCAAACTGATTTTAATTTGTTAATTTAAGTTAAAAAAAATATTTAGTGTAGGCCTATTTTGTTTTTTTATTTATAATATTTTATTTTGTGTTTCTCTTGTCACTGTCAAGTGTGTGAATTTTATGTGAATCCAGGTTGTGGGTCAATAAAATTGTTTATTTTTAACGGGTCACAGACACTTGTCAATTTTATTTTTATTTAATTCAATAGGCTATTAGTCAAGTCAAGTCAAGTCACCTTTATTTATATAGCGCTTTTTACAATACAGATTGTATCAAAGCGCTTCACAGTGATAACATGAAAACAATATAACAATATAACAAAGTTTGTTTCTAAAAGAAATTGCGTCAACGTCCACCTTAAGTAAGGCAGATCAATAATATTATTGAATATTAAATGTTAAATGTCCCCAACTAAGCAAGCCAAAAGCCAAGGCAACAGTGGCAAGGAACCAAAACTCCATCAGGTGACAGAATGGAGAAAAAAACCTTGGGAGAAACCAGACTCAGTCGGGGGGCCAGTTCTCCTCTGGCCAACGAAGGAACAGTGCATGATTCGGGCAGCATTACAAGTCAGATTGGATCGGAACATTTAGAGTATTTTTTGGAAGTCCAAGTATGCACGCCGGTCTTAAGACGAGTTGTTGAGGATCAGTGCCGTCCACCATACAGAGTCCATATCGCCCGTGTTGAGTCGTCTCTTCACAGGCTTTGTGATTGGAGCATCTGAAGTCTCCGTGAGAGGCTGGATACAAACTGGAGCTGACGAACGCCATTTTCTCGGGACTCGCGTCCCGAGATAACAGCAGAAAAGCAAAGGGAAAATAATTAGCGTAGCTGCTGTTCATAATGATGATTTCCATAACACAGGCGTAAAAGACAAAACATGAAGACAGTGACTCTTGCGTCCCAAAATCACCCCCCTCCGTCCCCCACTCAACTCAGCCCAGCTTACTGACCTCTACGTCCCTCCTGCTGCTGAGACCTAACCACAATCTCACAATCTCTCCGCAACCCAACCATACGCGCCAACCCGTTGACTAAGGCTGTCGAGCCCCACTGGTGCGTGAATAGGCAGTTTCAGTGGACAACGGTTCCGTATGGCATACTACCTACCGCAACACAATATCTGCCCAACCACCCGTCATTCATGCAATATACACAGGAACGTAATGACTGCAAATACTATGCAACCTATACAGATAACCTACAGTCTCTTCAAGTTTTATAGTATTAAATGCATTTGATCTGATTCAGCAGTATAATAAAAGGTAAGCATTATGTAAATGCTTGGCTAAAAAGATGCGTCTTTAATCTAGTTTTAAACTGCGACAGCGAGTCAGAGCCTCGAACAATATCAGGAAGGCTATTCCAGAGTTTAGGAGCTAAATGTGAGAACGCCCTCCCTCCTTTAGTGGACTTAGATATCCTAGGAATGACTAGAAGCCTCGAATTTAGTGATCTTAAAGAACGCGATGGATTGTAGGGCGATAGAAGGTCCATTAAATACACAGGAGCTAAACCATTTAGGGCTTTATAGGTCAGTAATAGTACTTTGTAATTGATACGGAACTTGATAGGTAACCAGTGTAGAGATGATAAAATTGGTGTTATATGATCATATTTTCTTGACCTAGTAAGAACTCTAGCGGCTGCATTTTGCACTAACTGTAGCTTGTTTATTGAGGATGCAGGACAACCGGCTAATAAAGCATTACAGTAATCTAGTCTCGAGGTCATGAATGCATGAACTAACTTTTCTGCATCGGAAACTGATAGCATGTTACGTAATTTAGCAATGTTTCTAAGATGGAAAAAGGCTGTTCTTGTAACATATGAAATATGATTTTCGAAAGACAAGTTGTGGTCTAGTATAACTCCCAGGTCTTTTACCGTAGAGGATAAAGTAACAGGACATCCTTCTATATTAAAGTTGTATTGTAAGTGGTTTTGTGGATAGTTTTTTGGACCAACAAGTAATACCTCCGTTTTATCTGGATTTAGTAGCAGGAAATTATGCGTCATCCAGCATTTTATATCTTTAAGACACTCTGTCAATTTTGATGAGTTAGTGTTTTCATCTGGCCGTGATGAAATATATAATTGAGTGTCATCAGCATAACAGTGGAAATTAATTCCATGTTTTCTTATAATATTACCAAGTGGCAGCATATATATTGAGAATAGCAGAGGGCCTAACACCGATCCTTGCGGCACTCCATAGTCTACTGACGTTATCTTCGATTTTTCCCCATTTAAACAAACAAAATGGTAACGGTCTGATAAATACGATCTGAACCAGCTTAATGCCTGTCCCTGAACACCAGTGTAGATTTGTAGTCGATCCAAGAGTATTTTATGATCGATAGTGTCAAACGCAGCACTAAGATCGAGTAGAACTAGTATTGAGATACAGCCTTGGTCAGAAGCTAAAAGTAAATCATTTGTAATTTTAACTAGCGCAGTTTCTGTGCTATGATGCGGTCTGAATCCTGACTGAAATTTTTCATATATCTCATTTTCTTGCATGAAAGAGCACAATTGAGCGGACACAGTCTTTTCTAGTATTTTAGACATAAATGGAAGATTTGAAATCGGTCTGTAATTTGCTAAGTTATTTGGATCTAATTGCGGTTTTTTAATGAGAGGTTTTATTACTGCCAGCTTGAATATTTTTGGAACATGACCTAAAGATAAAGACGAGTTAATAATATTAAGAAGAGGCTCTTCCACTACAGGTAACACTTCTTTCAGAAATTTAGTTGGTATTGGATCTAATAAACATGTTGTTGGTTTAGATGCAATGATACGTTTATTTAGCTCTTCCTGTCCTATAGTTGTAAAGCGGTGTAGTTGTTCTTGAGGGGCGATAATTGTGGCTGAATCATAAGACACCATAGAGGATTGTACATTTACAATTGTGTTTCGGATGCTTTCTATTTTCTCATTGAAGTAGTTCATAAAATCATTACAGCTATACTGTAACGGAATAATTTGCTCGGGTGATGTCTGTTTATTTGTTAGTCTAGCCACGGTGTTAAATAAAAACCTTGGATTATTTTGGTTATTTTCTATTAGTTTGCGGAGATGCTCAGCCCTGGCTGCTTTTAGAGCTTTTTTATAACGTGACATACTGTCTTTCCACGCGATTCTAAAGACCTCTAAATTAGTTTGTTTCCATTTACGCTCTAGGTTACGAGTTTCTCTCTTGATAGCATGAGTAGCACTGTTGTACCATGGTGCTTTAGTTTTCTCTCTAACCTTTTTTGATCTAATTGGTGCAACAATATCTAATGTACTAGAGAAAATGGTGCTCAAACTGCTAGTCATTTCCTCTAGTTCATCTGTTTGTTTGGGTTCTCTGAGCAGCTGAGATAGATCAGGTAAGCTATTTGAGAATCTATCTATAGTGGTCGGAAGGATTGTTCTGCCTGGTCTATAACGTGGCGCAACATGACAAATTTCAGCAGTGCGTATTATACAAGTTACCATGTGATGATCGGTGAGATCGTCACTTTGCGGTATAATATCTATATCGGTTAGATTGGTTCCATATGATATAATTAAATCTAGTGTATGATTTAGACGATGAGTGGGACCACTGACATTCTGCTTGACCCCAAAGGAGTTTAATAAATCTGTAAACGCAGTCCCTAACGCATCGTTTGTGTTATCTACGTGTATGTTAAAATCTCCAACAATTATTGCTTTATCGGCATTGACCAATAGATCTGAGAGAGAGTCTGCAAACTCTTTTAGGAAATCAGCATATGGTCCTGGAGGTCTATATACAGTAGCCAAGGCTAGAGATAATAGGGATTTATTTCTTACATCTAAGAGCGCAACGTTTAGCACCAGTACTTCAAACGAATTAAACCTGTGACCTGTTTTCTGAGTTACATTAATAATATCTCTATAGATTGTTGCAACACCGCCGCCACGACCGATCAGACGGGGCTCATGTTTATAACAGTATCCTGGCGGGGTAGACTCATTTAGACCGAAATACTCGTTTGGTTTAAGCCAGGTTTCAGTAAGGCAAAGTACATCGAAGCTATTATCTGTGACCATTTCATTTACAATAACCGCCTTAGGTGTGAGCGATCTAATGTTTAGAAGACCTAGTTTTAGAAATTGTTTTTGTTCACTGATATTTAGATTTTCAGGTTTAATTACAATAAGATTTTTCCTAGATCCTACAGTGGATTTATTATTTGGCCTCACTAAACGAGGAATAGACACAGTTTCTATATAATGTTCTACACTACTTATATCAATTAAATTGGCACAGCAAAGACTGTGATTTGGAATTTGATTTTCTAGTCATACGGTGTGTAACGTCTTGGAGATGTTGTCCGACAGAACAGCCGCTCCGATTCTGCTGGGGTGCAGGCCATCAGCACGGTAGAGCCTAGGTCGCTCCCAGAACAGATTCCAATTATTTACAAAGAGCAGTTTTTGTTCATTACACAATGACATTAACCATTCATTTAGTGCAAATAATCTACTGAACCTTTCCTGTCCTTGTCGGTACGTGGGAAGCGGTCCAGACACGATGATCGTTGCCTCAGGCGCTGTGCTGCGTACCGCCTCGATCAGGCTCCTGTAGTCCTTCTTCAGAACCTCCGTCTGCCGTAGCCTGATATCGTTTGTTCCAGCGTGAAGCACCACAGCTCCGACGCGCTCTTCACCGTTCAGGATCTAGGGAACCTGTGCGGCGACATCAAGAACACGAGCACCAGGAAGGCAGTGAGTGCGCACCTTACCCTTACCTGAGGTAGCACGGACATGACGGACCATGGAAGTGCCAATGATCACGGCGTCGTCGCGTTCCGACTCGCGAAGAGGGGAGAAGCGGTTCCGGGTGGAGATCTCGAAGACCGGGAGGGGCGGAGAGGTTCTTGCTCTGGTCCTGGCTCGTGTCTTCCGCTGTGGGATCACCCAGGGTCCATGGTGTTGGGTTGGTGCCGGTAGTGAATGATGCCAGAGATGATCGCGTCCTCCTGGGCAGAGAAACGCACGGAGTGGACGAAGTCGGAGTCAAAAAGTTACTAACCACTGACTTGTGTGCATCGGCGCGTGACGTTTCAAGCGCTGATCGCCGATCCCGCAGCTCGGCTTCCCTCTCTAGCAGACCACGGATCTGTTTCTCCACCGATTCAAGCTCCAATCGTACCGAAATCAGTTTGAATGTGTCCTCACCTGCACTCAGAGGTAACGTTAGACACACATCTGATATGTTCGCCATAACAGATGAACAGTAGATTAGTAGTGATACTACCAATATCACTAGTAATTTAGGACTGAAATGCCGGATATAACCTGTATCCTTTCAGTGAAACGGGTGTAAAATCAGACGGTCAATAGGCGCGAGGCCACGCGTGAAATGCTAGCGGACTAAAGGCTAGTAGCCGAGATTCGCAAAGTTGGGTCTAAGTAGCGATATCAAAGCAATCCGATTGTTTTTTATAAGGAATAGTATCGAGGATAAGTTCCCATGATATAAAAATAGAAAGTGCTTGTTTATAAATGAGTGGTAAAAAAGAAAATCAAGGATTAATGAATTGATTCGACGGAGCTTTCAAACACAAACACCGACTGCTCGCGCATGCGCATTCAGTGACCCTGATTATAATCTTATCAGTTAACGGTTAATACTCTGATAACGAGTGGCGGTTGTCGGTCGGGAAAATTAACCGAAATGAGCATCCCTAATTACTAGTTTTTAGCAGTATGGATGCAACAATACCAGCTCCACTTTCTTTCCTTCAATTGAAATGCACACTGTTGTATATTGTCCGATGCGCTGCGCATTTCAGAGCGAAGCGCAGCACACATGATCCAGTGTTTTCAGTGTCTCATAGTAAATGCTTTTAACTCCATCCTGCATGTGTTTAACTTGCATTTGTAAATGCAACTGGTACCAGTTAGGGGTGGGAGAAAAAATGAATGCATGGATTCTCTCTCCAACGATTCTGGATCGATTCTGTGAATTTTAGAATTTATTCTGAGCTTCGTTTTTAACTGCAGATGCACGCTTTGCTTGATATGTTACGCTTGCCGTGGGCGATTCGTCTCGCCCACCGGTCTTCTCGTTACAAATACTCTATGAAAGCATAATATTGTCGTTTGGTATGCAGTGGGGTTATTAAAAATATGAAACTCCCTGACAAAAGGCTGCTTTCAGTTTCAAAGGCTCACGTGTGCTTCGTGAAAAGTGCTCGCATGCGGCTGTGCGACTCCAAGTGGTTAAATAATTTCACGTCACAATAGCATGAGATGAAAGTCCAATGTAAACAGTCAGTTATCTCTTAAGGGATTAGACGGGCAAAGACGTCTTGTATTTCAAAAGTCATCTGTGCATTCGTGTGAATGCAGCTTATTAGATCTCCCGCTGTCTGTGATGTCTTCAGTAATAATCAAAACAGTAAAGCTGAGAGAGAAGCACTCACAGCTCTTGAATGGAAAATGTTCAGATACTCTTAAATACTGAAAGCATTCTTTATTGCTTGAAATGTTTCTGTTCAGCTTTATTATTTAGGCTACTACTTGCTTTTGTTTTAAAGCTATATTAGTAATACATTTTAAGATTCTTAAAATACAAATTTTAATTTATTTTTTAAAAAGTACTTATTACTTAAGTAATTTATCAAGAATTGCTTTGGAATCGAATCATGACTTATGATCTGATTCTGGGTGCTTAAAGGTGCTTAAAGATTCCCACCTCTAGTACCAGCTTTTTCACACTTGCACTATTATTATTTATTTTCATTTTTTTTGTGGACAGATGACTACAGCTTTTCCTTAATTTTGTAATAAGTGTTTGTAAAGCTATGGTCAAAGAAACATAAATGTCTCCCCCTACACTTTTTAATAATGTTTCTAAGTATAATAGTTTAATAGTAATTTGAAGAGAAGGTAAATCCAATAATTTAGATACTGTTCAATTGTTATGCCCTTTATGTTGTGGCAATTTTTCCCAATGGTATTGAAGATTCTTATTCAAAGTTTTGTATCAGTTAGAACTTCCAGTGTTGTGACAAGATTAGTGTTTACTATGTTAATAATTAAATGAGAAGATAAAGAGAATACTCAAAGTATTTACTTAAAATATTGTAAAATAGTATTAAGCCTGCATGGTATTGTTTCAATTAGGTTTATATTGGTGTCAACTACTGTTAACCCTATCAGTGCTAAAATCAATGTTTAACATTCTCACTGGAGTAATTTTAGACATTATGTTTAGTCTTTTCGTTTTCTGCTCAGTCTATTCACAAATATTATTGTGGCTTAAATGGAAAACTTTGCACAGAAGTGTCTGGTATACAAATAATAGTAAATGCAGGGTGGCCGCGGGTCCTTAAAGTCTTAAAATGTCTTAAATAAGACATTTTAATACTTTAAGGCCTTTTAATAGGAAAAGTTTAAGTTCAGATTCTGGTCAAGATTCAGATTCTGGTAACTGGTCACATTACCGCTAATATTTCTCCAGTCTGACGAACCCAATGTCCATCAAATAACCAGCAAAGCATCGAATCGCGAGTGATTCTGATTTTATTACATAAACAGCGATTGATAATGATGATGTATTTCTGGTAACGCTGTTGAGACTCGCCTGTCTCTGAGAGAGAGTTTATAGTGAGAAATCAAAACAAACGAGCATAACAGCACATAAACTCACAGAAGAAACACTGAGGTAAAAAGTCAAAATGTTGAGTTTTATTTTATTTATAAAAATGATATAGTTTAGTAACATAACCTGACGGGAGCTATTTTGCTGAATATTCTCACGATTGGAAATGTAACATTGATTTTAGTTCAATAAACAAGTAGTTAATATTAAATTACTTCAATTACTTAGGTTCAACATTAAATACTACATATAATGTGTATTTCCATCACAGGTTTGGTCTTAAATTTCATTCAAAGTGGCATTAAAAAGGTCAAAAAGTCTTAAATGTAACTTGTTTATATCTGTAGACACCCTGAAATGTATTTGTTTTGTGCCGCTTGATTGTAAATGTTGTGAATGGATTCCAGCTCTGAATAATGGGCCGTCTGTAACGCGCTCCATATCTGTGTTTCTCCACCAGTCTGTCTCCCGATCTTCTGGATGGGAGTCTCAGTAGCGTCGGCTCCTCTGATTCGCCCGCCAAGATGGACGGCGTGTCGCCCTCCTCCAGTAACTCTCCCCTCACACCCCTTCAGGACCTTTCCCCTAAGTGATCCGCCGAGCGTCACAGACAGAGAAGGATTGGGGCTGCTTTTCTTCCACTCATTCTTTCTTTTTCAATGCCTTCCCAACATGGCTTCTGTTCTTTTCCTGAATTGTCCTGTTGCATTTAAAGGAAAGTGGCCCAGGAGTTTATTCGGTATGGGACAGACCCTAAGGGCATGGAGAGACTGTGGATGCTTTTTGCATCAGCTGCTATAAATAGATGTGAGACGTGGTGTGTAGATCTGCATCAAAGCGAACAACATCACAAAGGGAAGATCTCTTTTTTTTTTTTTTTGGTCTCTCAATTTGGCAATTATCTTTTTGATAAGGCTTTGAAAAGAAAACTGCTGTAAACAGGAGAACAACTACAGGCGTGTTCTTTGATTTACAATCTTAGCTTGCCAACAGGTATAGTGTGTGTGAGAATTTAATTTATTTTTTGGGCTTTTGTTTTATTTGTATGTAAGTATGTACATAAGATTTGGAGGAAATGTATTTTTCAAAGAGCTTGGCACTTCGTTCTCTGTTAAAATGGTTTATGGTTGCTGTACACAACTATGCAGAAGGGATTTAATATTGCATCTGTTAGTAACCACTAAATCCTTGATTTGAACACTAGAGAAACTAAAATGCCTGTTTGTCAACCTAAATATGTGCTTACAACTGTTACTTTCACAGCTTTCAGAGAATGGAGCAAAACATCCGGGCTAGGTTGAGTGATTGTAATCAAGCAAATGGAAGCATTTGGAGGAGAATGCGGGGTATTTTTCAGAGGCTGTTAACAGTGACCCATTTGGCAGTTTAACAGTTAAGCAGAAGTGCACAAAGATGAAACCCTCCCCATCGAGAGTTATTTGTGGAATTAAAAAGTTTTAAATGTAATCTACTGATACTTAAATGGTGTGCCATTAAATTTGTATATAAGAGAAATTGTACAACTGTAGAAGTTATTCATTTGGGGTTTTAGTTACTTTAGGAAATAGTATTTTCTTTTTGTAAATGGTTTTTCTAAATTTCTTTGAAAGAATGCTTTATTTCCTCAAGCATGAGATAATGTATCATAAATGAATTTTTGTGTGCAAGAAAGTGATTGTAAAATATTTTTCATTCAAGTGGATTGAAAGTTTTTTTTCACATAAGAAAAGATGAAACTGCAGTGTAAGTCTTTTTCTGAATGTCTTTGCAAACAAAAAGTGGGTCATGTAGATCCAGATTCTGTCCTGTAGTAATGGGTGAAATGTATTTGTAGTTTGCTTTGGTTTTGTTTTTGTCCTGTGGATGTGTCATTCTTTATTTAATGATTTTACTTTGTCCTGTTGACTTGTACAGTACTTTTAAAGCCTGTGCATGTGAACTCTGTTGAGGAGGGCCTGAGAGCTGTTGTGAGTGTGTAGTTCTCTACTCTTCCTAAACAATTCTTGTTCCCATCATATCAGAGACTTTCAGATCCCAGAAATAAATTATTTGTCCAGCTATTTTATTGCCTTGTCTTGTGAAATCAAACTTGTTCAGTGTTTTCTGTGTGGTTCTCTTGTCTTTAAAAACACAATTGTCACAACAGAGCGAGAGGTGTTAACGGGTATGGTTCTTCGGTTCCCTTCATTTTCATCCCTAACGAAATGTTCTGCTTGACCATGACAATGGACCCTTTACTCAGACTGTGCTAATGCATTTCCACAATTAACTTTGTAAATCTATCAACTCTCCCTAATGTTTCTGAAAGTTTTGATTTTTATTTGATCAAATACAGTAAAAACAGTAATTACAAGTATTACAATTTAAAACCACTTTTCTATTCTAATATATTTTAAAATGTATTTTTTTCAGCATCAATACTCCCGTCTTCAGGGTCTCATGATCCTTTAGAAATCATTTTAATATGCTGATTTGCTGCTCAAGAAAGTCTTATCAATGTGGAAAATAGTTGTTTGTGGAAAATATTTTTTTTCAGGATTCTTTGAGTAGCAAGTACGGTACAAAACATTTATTTGAAATGACAATCTTTTGCAACATTGTGAATGTCTTCACTGTCACTTTTGATGCTTCCTTGCTGAATAAAATAATTAAATTCTTTGAAAATGGTCTAAAGAGGAATTCACATTCTATCTTGTTCTTCAAACTGTTTTGTAGTAACTGCCCAAAGTAAAACATTGCATTACTACCTGCCTACTGAGTATCTAATCCGGTTTCCTCTACAGTCCAAACATTTCACTAAATTAGTTGGAAGACAAGGCAGTTTTCAGGAGTGCAGAAGTAAATGCTCTTTCACCCAGCTTATCTCTAAACAAACATTTTCCCTGCAATGTTGCATTTTGCTTAAAGGTGCTCTAAGCGATGTCATGTGTTTTTTAGGCCAAAACATTTTTTGTCACATACAGCAAACATCTCCTCACTATCCGCTGGCTGCCTGTCCCCTGAACACACTGTAAAGAAACGCGATCTCTGTAGACAGCCCATGCTTCACAAACAGCACCAAAAACAAACTGCAGCGACCCGCTCCCCAAAACATAACAAACTGTTCCAGCCAATGACCGACAAGAAGGGTTTGGGGGTGTGGTTTGGGGGGTTAGTGTGCGGATGAGGAGGAGGGAGGGTCTAGCTAGCCTCCGTTTTGTTTGACAATAGTTCGAACGTCAACAAGAAGTGACGTCACCCAGGATCGCTTAGAGAACCTTTAAGCTACAAGAACTATGATTCTGAAACTAGAGAATAATTGATGTTACTACTAATACTTTTGAATAAAACTTTCAAGTAAATGCCTTTAAAAATCAATTTACTTTATTTTATGTGATATAAGGTTTAAGCAGTGGACAAACACCATAACATTTTCAGTCTTGAAATAAACAATAGAAATCCACAGACACTGAATATGACGTATAACAACACATTTAATTTCATGTATTCATGTTCCTCTACACCCCCACCCATTTAACATAATAGTTAGCCGGACCTAATGCCAGCTCAGTCAGTGTTGGGCCTGTAAACACAGAGCGCTCCCCTCCCCTTGCCCATGGATCTTTGCGTCTTCATTGTGTTTGCGACGATCATTTTAAGAAGTTAGTTCCTGTTTATAGGGAGTTTCCCAGACGTACTCCCTCCATCCTCACAACCCTCCTGGCTGTTAATGTCCATATCTCCCCTCATCATCTTAATAGTTCCTTTCGGCAAGATTGTTTCCAAGAGCACTTCAAGTGCGCAGAATAACCATTGTAAGAAGACCTGTGCGACATCGGAAAGTACCATGAAAACGTGCAGAATACAATCAAACTGGGACAATGATGCATCTTTGCAACTTACCTAAAACATAAGCAGCTACGAGTTTCTTGTTAACACTTAAGTGGAGGTAGACAGGCACTGTGGATTCCTGCTCTCCCAGAGTTGGGAGCATGAGGGCTGCCATACACACCAGGCCTAAAAGGACAGTAAGGAGGCTGGGACCCCCAGATGCTGTACGGCTCTCTGTGCCAATACAAGAAGGAAGAAGCAGATGGTTATAACATGAAAGAAAACCACAAAAATAAAATATAATACATCTCTCTGATGCCACCCAGTGGGAGCTTTACATTAAAACTGACTAGTAAGGCCCGCTGGCCAATCAGTGTTTTGCATTGTGTGCTACTGTTTTCAAGCAAAAGTGTGTTTTTGCATTGTGTGCTGCTGTTTTCAAGCAAACGTGTGTTTATGAGTTATATTACAGCTGCAATTACTTTATAAGAAAATTATTTTGAAACCAGAAAAAGAAAAAAGCCATTTAATGAAAGAACTTTAGCAAATATAAAAATACATTGGTAAATTTCATTTAGCAAATTTTTTTATAAAGACATTATAATTCTGTGTAGAAGAAATTGTAAAGACGTAAGAAATGTAAATATAATTTCCAGATAATATAAAAAATAAATATGAAAAAATAAATAAATAAATTGAAACTTGTATTTTGTGTGAGAAAAAAAATTCTGAAGGAATATGGAATTTTTTTTCCCTTTTCTTTTTTTGTGGGCCCAGTGAAAATGTTGGCGGTGCAAGTAAAAATCAGAATTCCAAAACATGATACTCAACAATGAAAAAAAAAAACTAGGACATGATTTCATTCTAATGCTGGGGCCACACCACAAGATATTCGGGCCGATTTCTCCCCTTCCGACAATCCTAAATGAAGTTGTTTTTATCTTGATGTTTCTACAGATTATCTTATCAGATTTCCCTGTGGTGTGAGGTGTGTTAAGAGTGACTGAACCTGCTCGGAAGAACGTCGGAGCCGCCCCGATCTCGAATTGTAAATATTCAACATATTTTTGAGGAAAACATTTCAGGATTTTTCTCCACACAATGGACTTCAATTGCAAACAACTTTTTGAAGTCCAAATCAATGCAGTTTCAAAGGGCTTTGACGTGCTTCAAACGGCTCAGTACGTTCCCAGCTGAGGAATCTTATCTAGCGAAACGATCCGTCATAAAAAAAAACAAAAAAAAAAAACATTTATATACTTTTTAACCACAATTGTTCGTCGTGTGCAGGTCTCCGACGCGCCAGGGATTACGTCATCACGTTGGAAACGTCACGATTTATTTATTTTGGAATAATAATAATAAATTAAAACAAAGATGTCAGACGATTTTGAAGTTGGAGGAGAAAACGGGAGAAAATGAGATGGAATTTTCCGCCCTTCCCTGCCTTTTTGAACCGGAGTACACAGACAAATAAAATGACGTGACGCGTGACATTTCCAACGTGATGATGTAATCCCTGGCGCGTCGCAGACCTGCACAAGACGAACAATTGTGTTTAAAAAGTATATAAATGTTTATTTTTTTTAGAAAATGACTGATCGTTTTGCTAGATAAGACCCTATTCCTCAGCTGGGAACGTGCAGAGCCGTTTGAAGCACTTCATAGCCCTTTGAAACTGCATTGATTTGGACTTCAAACCGTTGGTTGCAATTGAAGTCCATTGTGTGGAGAAAAATCCTGAAATGTTTTCCTCAAAAAACTTAATTTCTTTTCCACTGAAGAAAGAAAGAAATGAACATCTTGGATGGCACTGGGGTGAGTAAATGATCAGGAAATCTTCATTTTGAGGTGAACTAATCCTTTAAGAACGTGAATTCATGTCGACTGTAAAATGCACCTGTCTGGAATGCAGTCTGCTCAAAGAACACTCTGTCGGCAAGCTGCTCCTTCATCCTGCGCTCCTCCTCCTGGGGCCGGACCTGGGGCTGCTCTTGAGCGGCGGAGGGCAGCAGAGTGGCCATTACTTCCTTCCTGCCCAGTGCCTTCCTCTGACTCTGCTCAGACACCTGCAGCCGGAACTTATCAATCACACCATAATGACAGGCCCGCACGTCCCTATGGCGGATCACGCTGTTTGGTGAAAATCAAGAAATGAATGGTTGTGAAAGGCTCAGTGAAATCAGATTGATATTTTTCTGTTAAAATATTTAGTGTAAGACTCGGAAACTTACATATCCACGCAACATTGCGGTTTAACAGCACCAGTGGCATCCACCACAGCATACTTGTTTGGAGCTGTGCACAGAACTGATGAAACAACAAGCAGTGAGGAAGGAACCACTACAGCACACTAAGGAAGGTTCTCGTGGGTACTACCGACGCAAATGTACGACTCACCTTTGAATTTAAGAGCAAACTCATAAGGGTTGTAGAGGGTGAGCACCTGCTTATGTGAAGCCTGCTCATCTGCGTAGAACACCAGCTCAGTGGGGAACACAAACACTGGAAGGCTTCCCTCCACTAGGTCAGGCTGCCGACTCTGCTTCTGCATTGGCTCAAGCTGAGCTCACTTCCTCCTCCCTTTATCGTATTCCCACTCCCTCTCCGGGCTGTAACGGTGCAGAGATCCAGTTCTAAATGAAGCCAGTTCAGCTCTTTGGCAGCATGACGTTCACCTCTGAAATTACAGAAATTGGGCCATTTCATCATGAACAGCAGTAGAAGGCAGGACTGCAATTCATTTGAATATAAATAACAAAGCGTGTCATAATAATAAAAAAGAATATGAAAAACACACAAAACTCACGTTCAGTGTGAATTGAAAGGCTTAAGTCACTGACTCTGTAAAGCCGTGGTCAGAAGTTTTGGCGGTGACAAATTTTACGTTTTGCAAAGTTTGCTAGATTTTTTGCAAGTTTCTATGGTATACTGGAAAACAGTAATAAGCATTTCATAAGTTTAAAAGGCTTTTATTTGGCAAAAACATTCAGCAAATGCAAAGAGTCAATATTTACAGCTTTGACCCTTCCTCTTCATAACCTCTGCAATTCACTCTGGCATGCTGGATATCAGATTCTAGGTCAAATCCTGACTGATGGCGACCCATTCTTGCCTATAGGCCTGTTCACACCAAGAACGATAACTATATTAGCGTCCACAACAGGGGTGTCCAAACTGTCCTGCAGAGTTTAGCTCCAACTTGCCTGGAAGTTTCTAGTATGCCTAGTAAGACCTTGATTAGCTTGTTCAGGTTAAATTGGGGTTGGAGCTGAACTTTACAGGACAGTGGCCCTCCAGGAGCAGGATTGGACACCCCTGGTCCACAACAATGCACAATATCGTTTGTTTATTCTAAGCACGTGCTGCTGTTTTGTCATCTGCTACTTTAAATGCTTGTGCTCTTTAAAGCAGGATGGATTCTGATTGGCTCTGTGCTGTTATCGTTATAGTTGTGGTGTGAACTCTGCTATTCTTTTATATTTAGGATCACATCTTTATCGTTATAGTTATAATCCTTGGTGTGAACGGGCCTTTAGTAGGCTAGTGCTCGGAGTTGATCACAATATGTGGGCTTCTGCTTGTCCACTCGCCCTTTGAGGACTGACCACAGGTTCTCTATGGGATTAAGATGCGGGGAGTTGTCTGGCCAAGGATCCAAAATTTCAATGTAAAGAATCTCCGAGCCACTTTATTATCACACTTGCCTTGTGACATGGTGCGCCATCATGCTGGAAAATGCACGGATCATCACCAATTTGCTCCTGGGTCGTTGGCAGAAGTTGTTCTTGCAGGATGTTTTGATACCATTCTTTATTTATGGCAGTGTTTTAGGGCAGAATTGAGAGAGCCACCCTTGGATGAAAAGTAACCCCACACATGGATGGTCTCAAGATGCTTCACCATTGGCAAGACACAGAACTGATTCAAGGCGTTCACCTTTTCATCTCCAAACAATAGATTTTCCAGATGTCCCAAACAGTCAGAAGGGGGCTTCATCAGACAAAATAACTTTGCACCAGTCTTCTGCTGTTCAATCCTTGCACATCCTGCAGTATGTCATCCTGTCTTTGATATTTTTCTTGAAGAGAAGTGGCTTCCCTTCTGCCCTTCTTGACACCAGGCCGTTGTCCAAAAGTATTGGGCTCACTGTGCACTTGCACCCACTTGCTGTAAATATTGAACAAGTTCTGCACGGGTGGCGAGCTGGTGACACGATTCTGTAGCCGATTTCTCAGGAGGAGACGGTCCTGGCACTTGCTGGACACTCATGGACATCTTGAAGCCTTCTTCACTTGAGCCTCTCTCCTTGAATTTCTTAAAGAAACTGTTAAAATGATTCTTTCAGGTGCAATATCCTTTGCAGCAATTTCCTTGCATGTGAGGCCATTTTGATACAAAGCGACGATGGCTGCACGTCTTTCTTTGGAGGTAACCGAGAATTATAGAGTGGTTTTACCTGACTAGTACTCAGCACTTTCCCTTGTGCTGATGATATGATTAGTGAAATGACGTCGGGGTCAGTATGAAAGAAGCTTTAAGTTGGTCAAAAGTGACAGTAAAGACATTTATAATGTTTTATAATAACTTTCATGTTCTTTTGAACTTTCTATTCATCAAAGAATCCTGACAAAAATGCGTCACGGTTTCCACAAAAATAATTTTAGCACAGCTGTTTTCAGCACAACTGCTTTCAACAGTGATTATTTGTCACAAAGAATAAATTACATTTTAAAATAGAAAAATGGTAATAATATTTCACACAATTGCTGTTTTTACTGTATTAATGATCAAATAAATGCATGCAGCCTTTGTGAGCAGAAGAGCCTTCTTTCAAAACATAATTTTTTTTTAAATCTTACTGACCCAGACTTTTGAGCAGGACTGTAGCCAACAACACAGTTGTCCTTGAATGATGGATCGTGACCCAAAAACGAACCAGGTCTGTTCTGATGGCTAAATAATGAACCATAACTAACTACGTAATTGTGCATACTGCAGAGCTAAGATAACAAAATCAACTTTTAAGAGGAGAAAACACATCCTATCAGCCTTGACATCAAAAGCTGCAAATTCTATCAAAATAAAAAGTTATTTTGGCACATAATCATCTGTCACTTACGCCGAAAACCATAAACAAAACCAAGACTACAGGGTGCAATAGCAAAAAGTATACACTTTTTCTTTTCTTTTTTTTTTTACAGTGGATTATCAGCTGCTATTTTAATGATGCATTTACTAAACCAAAATATCATATTGTTAGGCCTTTGTATTTCATAGTTATATTAGTAAATGTCAATATTTGTTTTGAAGGTCATTTTTGTACAATAAAACAACCTTAGTACAGTGCTGGGCAACTTGACAAAATCTGTGTAATAAAACAAAATAAGATGAAAACTACTGCAACAGGAGGTATAAATAAATTACAGATTACATGAATAAGTCTAATGGTAAGTAACAACTTTTTCTCTCAGACTTATTTGTGGCATGAGAATAATCGAGGGATGCTTCGGAAAAGTTAAGTAAATGCAAACATGAATTGATTAAATAAAATGAAGGCCAAACGAAACTGCAACATGTGTCAATATAATCTGATAATAGTGTCAATGTAATAAAAGACTTATGGATGATGGCCAAGATATCTATACAAAAACAAGTTCCCGCCTCCACGTGGCTAGTCATGTGACCATGTTTACTGAATTCGTCTGAAACGCAAGGATTTCGCAATACGATACATAGCAATAAATAAATAACATCAAACTTAACCGAGTAACATCATACCAATGAGGTCAATGACACAGCATGACAGCTGGCAGATACAAGGATAAGATCCATTTAACAGGGCTTTACCAAAGACTATGGACTTTGGTTTTACTAATATCGAAATAAATACACCCATCAGACACGTAAGAAAAATAATTAACGTTAATGCCCGCTTACATGCTAAAAAAAACTTTTTAAATGTCTTCTGTATAATATTAAAATCCCCATCAAATGACTGACGTCTTGCTTACAGAATGTCTCCAGGAGATCGGATAACGACGTGACAGACCTTTTGTCCTCTTTAAGGCTATTAGCAGAGATAGTTATATATAAAAGGACATTTATATTTTATTAAACCTGTACATTAAAGCGTAGATTTCCGACCTCAAATCTGATGTCAAGTATTTCTTAACTACAATACATTTGCCTGTCTAATGTTAAACTAAATGCAAGAAAGATGTAGAATAACGTTATCTGGCTAAAAATGATTAGCAAACTGCCATTTCAATTCTTCCATAGTAATTAAGCACTTAAAAAGAGGTTCGGTTTGCAAGTTGTAACTTGCTAAAGTAATTTAACATAAAGTAAGACATAATATTCAGTATTGTTCACTGGATGTTGACGTATTGCTGGTATGGTTAACCTACAATCATGCTAGCATAACAATATTGCAACATCGAGATGACAGTGTTTAATATTACGTTATTTAATGTAGCTATTGAAAGATTAAATACACCGAAAACAGTAAAATATATATATATGTTACCTCACTCCCGTTTACCGATATTTATTTCAAATCCCACCCCGTTTCCTTTTTCTTTGTCAACAATATGCGCTGCAAGGGCGCATTGAATGCTGGGATACTGGAGGGCTTCAGGAATTCCGCCAACGTCTTTTATGACGTCATATAGAGTTTCACAAAATACTTTCTGTTATTTCTGGAGTTTTTCTCAGTAAATGCATTCGGAAGATAAATGACGTTTATCGGTCGTTGTATACTTTTAAAGCTAGCTACTACTCTCTGGGTTACCGTTTACCCGTTGCGAAAAGTCTTAAAGGGACAGTTCACCCTAAAATAACAATTCTATCATTAGCTCACGTAACGTTACTCGTCCTGTGTCTTCCTGCATGTCTCCAGCAGAACACTAAAAGAGATGTTGAGCAACATGACCCAGTCACCTTTCTCTTTCATTGCATCGTTTTTCAAAATAACTGAATGGTGACTAAAGCTGTCATTCTTCTGGATAGCATCTAATTTTTTTGTGACAGAATTTTTTATTTTTTGGGTGAACTGTACCTTTAAGGTTTGACAAAGCTCAAATGAAGCATTTCGTTAACACAAAAAAATCATGTTAGCAAATGAAATTTGAATACCGCCATTATAACAATTTCAGTTTGGGCGATTTTTTAATACCCCCAGAGTGAATTGATCTTGGCATTTGACAACACAACATACAGCATTTATGTCGTCTCTTTAGTTTATTAAAGTAAAAAAAAAAAGTAATTCTAAAGAAACCATAGAAAGAAACCCACACGCCCTTTAAAATGAATGCTCATTCAGACGACAACTACCACCGCTTCTTAGGGCACAACACAAGTACAACCATAGACTGTAAAAAACCATAGACTGTTTTTTTTTGTGTTGCATTAACAGAATATCAGACTACAGAGAAATGAAAACAGGAAGAAGAATAGGACGACCTTTATAAGCCCCGCTGGGGACATAGCATATGCAGTTAATGAATGAACAACACTGACAGTTTCACATAAAAAATATGTCCTTGTTGTGAATCAGGATACGAATATAACAAACAGAAACCCTGCACAATACAGCGGAATGTGCTCTACAATAGGTGATATTATGTTAGTGGTAGATCTCTCCAATGGCACGTTTCTCACCATGAGCAAGCTACTGAATTGTGGTTATGTAAAAATGCGGCTGAACGATCATAAGGTACTGTATCATCGACACCTGTTCACAGATTATTCCCTGCAGAGATTAAAACACATTATAGTGCAGAGTAAATATACCATTTTTGTGAACACCCTAAATGCCTGCAAATTTATGAGGTAAAGCCGCACGTTCAGTGTCTGTGATTTTTGTGAACAGGATTGCCTAGCCTCCTTCCCTCTCTCACATTCACACAATCAAATGGCATGTACAGGGAGGCTCCACGGAAACCGAGGAGCACGATTTAGGAGGAGCCAGTGCCTGACAACGCTGCTTTTCCTCTCGCTTCGGTACCGCCGTTCGTTGTCACGGTCTAGGGCGGTTTGGTGTATTAATGGCGCTTGCCTATGGTCTCTCAAATGAGATAAACAAGAGGAGGGGAAAGCGGGCGAGGATGGATTTCTCGATGGTCAGGGGGAGGCACAATTATTATAAAAATCACACGGAACCCAAGCTACTCCCCACCCCCACCAAGACAGCTAGACGAGATCAGAAAGGAGGGGGTTGCCCTTTCTATGAGTCAAAAATGACACTATAGGTTTTAAGTGAACTTGTTAAATCTGTCAAACACACAATATAATAGCAGTTATGCCCCCTTTAACAGGCAAAAACTAGATTACAGATTACACAAATGATACACATCCCCGTCCTCCCGATCGGGCTCCGTCCGCAGCAGCGAGCGCGGAGAACTGAGGGGATAAGAGGCATTCCACGACCTCATTGCATATTTATACGGAGGTGGGCGTGGCTTCGCGTCTCAGCTCAGCCAATGGCGTAGCAGCGGCGGGGCGAAGGCGTTTCGGTCTGTTCGGAAGAGAAGTTCTCTAACAGCGCGAGCCCAGCACTGCTCAGAAAAGACAGATAGAGAATCAGGCGGCTGCAAAGGGTGGCAGTACGACCCTCTTTTGGGGGGGTCTGATTATAACAAAATATATACACACATATGCATGCCCAGGGCCGCAAGATAGGTCATATGCCGATTATAGATATTTTAGCAAACATCTAGACGTATATCTATACATTTTAAAATGCCTATTTTACTTTTCCTGATAGACACGTCCGCTTCTATGAATCAGCGCACTTATTTGGGTACGACGTATCTGGACATTGCTAAAGGCGCGGTTGAGATCTTTATGAAGGTAAAGCATAATTTTACCCCGACTTTTTCAGCATACTGTTGTACCTTGTTAAAGTTAAGGATCCCTATGACAGGATCAGTTTGAATGAATGTTTATTGTTTCGTTTTCTTTAACAGCTGCGTGCCCGAGACCCGGCTAGTAGAGGCGACAGGTACATGCTAGTTACATTTGATGATCCACCATACGGCGTAAAGGTAAATAAATACTACTAAATTGTGCTTATATGTGGTTAAAGCGGAGATATTTTTCTGACAGTGAGACTCTACTGTCCCTCTGGTTTGTAGCATCGGGTCGGGCGGCCTCCCGGTGACGAAAACGGCTAATTTTTGTTAAAATATCCGCAGACCCGGAGCAGCGCAGCCTCTGAACATGGCGGACATTTTGCTTTTGTGTTGGGAATGCTCTCGAGCGCTGAGATGGAGGCGGAGAGATTTATTATCCTCTGTGACGTAGTGCATGACGCGTGCGCGGGCCAACTCGGCCCGGATTGGACAAGCATCCTGCCCTCTAGCTCGTGCCCTCCTCTTGCATTCTGATTGGTCACTGTAGCCTGAACAAATCAACACGATTTGATTTGTGCAAGAGCCATCAATAACCAAATGAGGCAGGAGATGCTTTGCAGTTTTACATTGCTCTTGACGAGAGAGATAAGCTTGTATGTTGCCCTTGAAAACAAGCATAAACTTCCTTCCCTCTCCATTCGCAAGTACATTCACCTCCTTCCCATTCATATTTCAAATTCCCAAACACCAAACAGCCAGGTGAAAGGTGATTAAGTATGCTGTCCTTTTACATTTGGTCACTGAAGTTGAACATCAGATATTCCTATACAAGCATGATTGCTATTTGCTCACTTTAAGCCATCATTTTCATATAAGGCATTAGTGACTTAAACTTACATCACGTATGAGACCATTTTGCACAACAGATGGCAAGCATATAATCTAGAATACTAACAACTAGGAAATAAATGCTTCCTGTGGAAATACAAGCATTGCTACTAGTACAATGCACAGCTAAGGTAATGGATGGTCTTGGTGTGGTGAACGGTCAGGCATCTGTGTTAATTGTACGCAAACAAATCTCTTTATTCAGAATACTAACTAAATGTCATGGTCGTCATGAGCAGGATATCTTGTAGTCGTACTTGCTTAGTGAATTACTTGATCATTCTAAGACACAAGGGCACGACTAGACTTGTTTGTATTACATTCAGGGGCGTCATGCACCTAATTTTTTGAGAGGGCAACAGTGACAGATTGACAGATCTGGCACTGCTTCCTAAGACTGTGAGTCATGATAGTCTAGTGGTGTGAATTTGTAGTATGCAAGGGGCCAGGTTCAAATCCTTATATAATAAAAATGTTCATAATGAGCTAAGCAAATGTGCAACTGAACTCCACTGCCAGTGATCACCCAGCATTTTCATGTGGAAAACAGTAGTACTGACCAATTTGGGTTTCAAAATTATGATTATTATTAAATGATAATTATTATTTACGTATTTAAAAAAAAACTTTGGTTACACTTTATTTTAAGATGTCTTTGTTACACTGTAATTGTGCATTTAAGTACTGAGTAATATTAAGTAACATGTACTTGTAGGATTCCTAACCCTATACTAAGTACATATAGTTACTAGCATTAGGGTTTACTTTGATTTAGGGTTAGTTACATGTAATTATCCATAATTTATAGTTATTACTACAGTAACTATAGTGAGATTACACTATAGTAACTTAAAAGTGAGATTATACATGTAACATATGTAACAGTGAACCTGTAATATAAAGTGTTACCAAAACTTTATAATACAACTATTATTATGTAATAAAGTTCTCACGGTATAATTACTGCAGTGACCTAGTTATATATTTTTGATTTATGAACCAAAGCAAGAACATACATTATTAACGTCTTTGCTGTCACATTTCCAGAATATTCAGTACATTATAAGTCCTGCATTGATTCAGTCTCCCACGGATTCTGTATCTAATAGAAACAAAAGATTTTAAACCAGTGCATTTTGTGAATTAGAGGCTGTTCTCTGTAGTCCTTCAGAGAAACACACCACACCTGCGACAAAGATTCTATAGTTCAGAGTTCAACCATTTCACATAAGTTATTTTCATAACAGCTGACATTTAAATGTTTAGGCTATATAATACACGTCTAATTAAATGCTAAAACTCTTCGGTTGTGACTGCAAATTAATATTTTGTCAACAAAATACAAAAAAACACCAGCAAGTAAAAACTCCTTGGTTCTGCAAAATTCACCATAGTGTTTACCAGCGTGCTTAAAACCCACACACCCGTCAAATCCAGTCAAATAAGCAAAAAAACAACAACTCCTTAATCATTTTTCAGACCTTTCTCACCCCCACATTCAGCCATCATCTGTTTATAGACTGGTGTGCCAGTTCTCTTATATTGGATATGGGAATTGTGGTTATAGTCACTTTTCCCAGCCTAATTTCAAAGTATCGTCCACTCTTTCTCCCAGCCTGTACTTGAATCGAGGTCTGCACTTTCTGACATGTACATGTGACATGGTGCTGTCTGGGTTCCTGTCTTCTTTGTTTGTGGTTTGACATTGACAATGAAAGTAGCTTTGCTCTTTAGCAGTTCATTAGTATGGACTATCTGGCAAGTAGCCAGTCACTCTCTTGGGGGGTTTTCTTACTCCACTGCTTGTCATTCAGTTTTCCCACCCTGTTTCAGTTTATCCAAGATAATCTGAGGGCTGTCTTCCAAGTGACACTTAACTATTTAACTAAAGCCCTACATTTCCTGCTTATAGCCAGGTAATATGCACTAATTATTCGTACTA